CAACGAACCAGCCAACCAACCCACCAACCAACCCACCAACCAACCCACCAACCCACCCACCCACCCACCAACCAACCAACCAACCAACCCAACCAACCAACCAACCACCCACCAACCAACCAACCCACCAACCCACCAGCCACGCAACCCACCAAACCACACGAAACCTTCAATGAATCCGCAAAACGGGCACCCTAAAAGAAAGACAGACCCTGCGTGTGCCAAGTGGCCTCTCCTCGTGTTGAATTCGCTTCGAGGTGACCTTCCTGAACGGCGCCAGCTGCCGCACTGAGCCGCTGGCAGAGGGCCCCATGGTGCCAGGGCTGCTGGCGGAGGCGACGGCGCCCGAAAGGCGAGAGGCTTTAAAAGGCAGGCACAAGGAGAACCGCCATTTTCTAGGTCCCCCAGCAGTGCCCTCTCTCACCCAATTTTTGGTTGAAAAAGGGTTCCCCTACCCATTTTCTAGGTGGTGGTAAACTAGCTGGTGGTTGGAAGGGAGCCGAGGAGCTAGGGGCATCCAAATTTGCTTTTATAGAGGGAGCTAACGAGGTACAAGGAGTCCGGTAAGCACATGGTAATACAGAACCTAGGTCCCCCAGCTAGGTGCCCTTTTACCGTTTCTTTTTGGGGGAGGATTCCCCTGCTAAGTTAGACAACAGAAAAAGGGTACCCTTATTCTAACCTCTCTACTGGAGGGCCTAGTTTTTGAGATTTTAAGGTCTTCCCTATTTTTTGACAAACCCTCGTTTATTCGAAAACAAAAAGTGGGGTGAAATGAAGGCTCAAGCCGTACCTTGCCGGGATCCTGTTCTTCAAAAAGCACGTCCATCGCCTGGGAAGATGCGCGGTTTCTAAGTGAAGAGAATGGGGAATCAATCGTTAGACAGTTGCCCAGTGGCTTCCACCCTTGTTCTTTTGTTTGGGATGGGTTTCCGAAAATGACAAATGTAACAAAGAAAAAGACAACGTGTTTGGGGACTTGCCCCCGCCCGCTGTTTCAAGTTTGCCCGGTGGTTTTGAGCATCACAAGTCTGCTTAGTTGAAGGCGAGGGTGCTCCGGTCGCGTGATACTTGGGAATGTCTCCGTGAGGTGCACGACCTCTTCGGCACAAGGGACGCCTCCTTCATCAGCGAGACCGGGAGCCTTCGGGACCGCAATCGGTGGAGTACGCACTGGCCGGGATTTGCTGAATTCCCGCACTTCCCCGTAGGACACGGGACCCCAAACACATTACCTGTGTACGCACAGAGAGTGAGCCACAATCAAAACCCGGTAGTAAGAGCTGCGGCCGCCTTCGTAATTCTTTACATGGTTCTGGTTTGACCATTTTAATTTCGGGTGATGACTCGAGTCGGATGTGAGGCATGCCCACCTTCTCTTTCGTGGACGACCAGATCAGCTACGGCTCCACCAGCAGCCGCTGGTGGCCCACCATGGACGACGACTACTTTGCGGTGAAGTGGTCCGGCGAGATGGCCATCCAGACCGCTGGGCTTTACACGTGCCTGGGAGGAGGGTTTGTTTGGCTGGAGTGGGGGGGGGGCCGGGGTGGGGGGGAGGGGTGGGGGGGCGGGGATTCCTGAGAATTCCCAGATTGGTTTGGCTGGGGGGATTCCTGGCATTTGAAATCGGGGGGGCGGGGATTCCTGGAAGTTCCCAGGCTGTGTTTTTTGTTTAACAAAAGATAACACTTTGTTTGCATGGGCTTGGGATTTGGTTTGGCCCACCTAGGGGAGTGAAAGGAGACTCGATGGTTGAAATCGGCGAAATTGTGATGTGCTCACTGACCAAAAGGAGCAATACACCGGAGAAGAGGAGCAGACAATCCGAGCATTTTTGGAGTCCAACCCTTTTTGGTATGGATGAGCAACATGCAAACTTTTCAATTGTTTCTGATCCACTTGCAAGGGCCACTGGGGACACACTCAGATTTTCCCACAATTCCCAGGGTGTGAGCCCTAATCTTCGCGGCTGAAGAGGGTGGGTTCGTTGTCGTCGTTTTTTCCCTGAGGGACCCTCCCAAGTGGATTCCCTTTGGAATCCTAAACCAACCGAATCCCAAAGGGATGGCCTCAATTAGCAGAGACCCCAAACAGTTGAGGACTGACGGGCAAGCACAAACATGCCCAAGAAATGTTTGACCCAGGAACCCTCCCAAGTGGATTCCCTTTGGAATCCTAAACCAACCGAATCCCCAAGGGATGGCATCGAAATTATCTTTGGAATCCTAAACAAACCGAATCCCAAAGGGATGGCCTCAATTAGCAGAGACCCCAAACAGTTGAGGACTGACGGGCAAGCACAAACATGCCCAAGAAATGTTTGACCCAGGAACCCTCCCAAGTGGATTCCCTTTGGAATCCTAAACCAACCGAATCCCCAAGGGATGGCATCGAAATTATCTTTGGAATCCTAAACCAACCGAATCCCAAAGGGATGGCCTCAATTAGCGACCCCAAACAGTTGAGGACCGGGCAAGCACAAACATGCCCAAGAAAT